TTTTTTTTTTTTCTTAGCTATCCACGCCTAGATTTATATTTATGGGTTGGACTTATAAAATAATTATTAAGATTATGTTAAGGATAAGCATCACAAATATTTGTACAAACTGTTTTTGAAAACATGGTTAATACGCTGGCGAGATTCATGCAGTTGACCTAAAAAATTGAATATTGCATTTAATGCTCCATCTTTTATTTCTATTTATAGTATACAATTAATTTTTTTGGCGGGAATTACTTTCTAAATGTAGTAAATAGTAATTCTTATTATATATATATAGATGCCGGCAGTTTAGTTTGATGCATGCATGAGCTAATGTTTGTATAGATGAAAATACTCAATTCATACTCAAAATCTAAGGGCTTGATTATTTATGAAATAATTTACTCAACTTTATTTCATACTCAAAATCTAACTCAACTTTAACTCAACCCGACTATCTTTAATATTATTTATATAATTAAATAATACAAACCAATCATTGTTACACATCATATCAACTTTAATTCACTATTCATCCGATCATATAATTTTAACTACCCACCATTTCCAATAATTTATCTCCTACTTTTACATCAAATCAATTTTAATCATTTTATTTTAAATATTTTTAATACATTCTTGAAATTCCACTAACAACTAACTATAACACTTTTTTTAAAATTAACTATGATTAACTAAAATAACTCGTTTTGAACAAATTATTTCATAAACAATCAAGCCCTAACTCAACTTTAATTCATAACTCCACTATCGTCAATATTGTCGATATAATTAAATAATACCAACCAGTCATTCTTACGCATCACATCAACTTTAATTTACTATTTTATCCACTCACATAATTTTAAATAATCATTGTTTTGCACCATCTCTCTCCTATTTTTTCCATCAAATCAACTTTAATTATTTTATTTTAAATATTATTTTAATATAAAATCAAAATCTCACTAACTAGTTATACCACTTTTTCAAAATTAACTCTGGTGAACCAAAAAACTCATTTGGAGCGGATATATTTGTATACAAACACAACCTTCCTAATGCAGAAAGCAATGCTTATTAGAAATAGTCAGAGAACATTGTTTTTTGATGATTTGTGTATCCAACCATAACTTTGGGCATATAATATTTCTCAAGTGGGATAAAAATGAAAAATTGTCAATATGCAATCAGATTCAAGTATGGATGACGACTTCATCCGTTCGGATAGAACCGTGAATACATCTGTCCCCAAGATACGAGGAAAAAAGAAATAGCAAAGTACATTATATCAATTCTTATGTATGTGAGTTCATCTGTTGGTGCCATTTTCATGAGGAAACATCATTTCCCACAGCATGTAAGTATATTGTTTAGTCCTCTTTCACCATGTGGAAATAAAATACCAAGTTTTGTAATCAAATTTTCTGGTCAGACACTCAGACCAATAATTAATGTGGATGATAGAATCTTAACACACACACACACACACACACAAAAATGAAATAAAATGATAGCCATGAGGAGAGGAAAATAGAAAGCATTGCAAATAAACGTCGCATACCCGGAATGAAAGTAGACTTCGGGTTCCAGTACTTTGATCTAAAAGCTGCAGCCAATAGTTTATTCATAACAACTTTGTTCTGATTCTTCTCAAGTTCATTCCTTTTAGATCTAAGTTCAGTCACAGCCTCCTGAAGCTTTGTGTTGTACTTATTTCGAACTTGATTAATGATCTCCTGGATCTCCTTCTCACAATCATGTTGCAGCCGTAATACCTATAGAGAGAGAGAGAGAGAGGTTAATTACACACACAAAAGAGAAAAGTTGAAGCACAAAAACAAGATTGCATACGTAAAACGATAATAAAAATTCCACACTAACCAATTCTCTATGGTGTTTATCCAGTTGTTCAGCTTCTTTACGTAGGTTATCAATCTCAATTTGAAGTGGGTCAATAGATGAAGATGGAGGTGAACTCGTGTAAGCAAGTTGATGGCTTGGATGGACAAGGTAGTTGGGCCCCTCAGAATGGCTCGCGTCAGACCCAAGCTGAAAAAAAGCTTCATTTGACCATTCAGCAGTACTCACCACTACCTGGGAGGGTGTGGTTACATCATTCTCAGAAACAGCTGCTACTACAGCATTTTGTCCAGGATTTGATGGTAACTGGGCCACAGTTGCCTGATCTGACGTTATACGGGCCGCAGTTTCATGATCCGAAGGTATTCGAGCCATAGTCTCATGATCTGACGGTACACAGGTCACAGTTTCAGTGCCCGTTGGGACATGGGCCACAGTTTCATTATCAGTAGGCTCACGGACCACAGTTTCAGTGCCCGTTGGCATATGGATCACAGTTTCATTATCAGTAGGCTCACGGGTCACAGTTTCAGCTCCCGTTGGCACATGGGTCAGAGTTTCATTATCAGTAGGCTCACGGGTCACGGTTTCATCAGTAGACTCACGGGTCACAGTTTTAGTGCCCGTAGGCTCATGGGTCACAATTTCATTATCCGTCGGCTCACAGGTCAAAGTTTCAGTGCCTGTTGGCACAATGGTCACAGTTTCATTATCAGTAGGCTCACAGGTCACAGTTTTAGTGCCCGTAGGCTCACGGGTAACAGTTTCGTCATCCGTGGGCTCACGGGTCACAGTTTCGTGATCTGACGGTACATGGATTACATATTCATCAGCCTTAGGAGCTTCTTCATGATTCGGTAGTACAGGGTTTACAGTGTCGATCGGTTCTGGTTGATCCTGCAAAGTAGTTTGATTTTCCATATGGTTCGTTGTATCTTGTTGCACCTACAACAAAATTAATTGTTAATTTATGCAGTTCTACTTGCGTATTCTGAAAAATATATAAGCAACAACTGCGCAGGGAAAAAAAATTAATGTAAAATAGGGAGTGAAGGCCTGGTATTCACTTCCTAGTGAATTTGGCACCAACCCCTGGAAATAAGATATCTTCAACAACTTTTAACAGATACAATATATTTGAAAAATAATTCTCTGCATGTCACAGGTAAAAGACCAATCGCTGTAAAAGGACAGATGTAACTGTTATAGATTGGCAGATAGATAACTTTGCAACTGTTAACTTCCGCTTGACCAATAAACAAAGCAGAAAAGGAATAATAGTAAAGTTAATATTTTACTCAAGGAAAAGCATGTACTTGCTGTGACGGCGTGTTGCCACAATCTGCCAGTGAAGCATTTTCCTTTGATTGGACAAGCTGCAGTTTCAGGCCTTGTGAATCCCCACTGGAGACCTCATCAGGCCCGTTTCTCTCATCCACCAAAGAATCGGAAACCCGTTCCACAGAAGCAGGTGGATTCAAAAAGGCGGCTTCGTCATCATCACCTGTTTGCTTTGGTTGACTAACATTCCCCCCATCTTCATTTTGAGCAGAAACAGTTTCCGGATTCTCAACACGAGTCTCACAGCCTATTGCCTCGTCAGATTGTCCGCATGGCTGAAAGTCTTCACCAGCATGCTCCTCAGGTTGAGGAGCAAGCGACTGCAGCTCACCAACAGAAGCTGGGCCACTCAAGTAGGCTTTTGCTTTGGCCTCCACCAAATTGATTTCTTCCAACTGTCGTGCCTCCAAAGCTTTAAGCTCTAGATCCCTTCGCGAAATGAGCTCCTCCATTTTCATGTTGAAGTCAGAATTCAATAGCTTGAGTTTGTCCATCCCTATCACGCTCTGACCGTGCACGGTTCGAATAAAAGCCGACTCCAGTTTGTGATCCGTCTCGAGTTTTATCTTTTCCTTGTCCCACTTCTCATGTAACTCCTGAAGCTCTAGTTCATGACCCCGTATAAGTCTCTTCCTACGCTTTCTAATCTTTCTCTGCAATTTCCTGGTGTTTCCTGCAGCAGCAATTTCCTCCTTATTGATGCTTTCCACAGCGAAGTATCGTTCTGAGTTGATGATTTTATTTTTGTACTTGGAATACATCTTCTTGAGGATTAAATAAACCGAACGCGCTTGTTCTTCAGTGCATTGATAGCTTAGATGCTCTTTGGCTAGCATGAGAGATTCCTTCTTGTCAATCTTTGTTTTCGTGACAATCCAACACTGATACAGCAAGAATAATAACTATTAGGGTGTGCATGAGTAAACAGAATAAAACTCCATTTTTCTTTAGAAATGAAAAATGTAAAACATTTGCATATCAAGGCATGTTAGTACATGAAATAAAATCAATACATAAAAGGTCNGTACTGATGCAAGTTAACAGTACATTAAATTGTATCAACCTTTTGGGCTTCGTGAATGTGTTTGATGAATTTAACTTGAAACTAACCAGAGAAATTTGAAGAGCCTGCACGAGTGATTGTGAGTCACTGTTGACTTTCTTATTTTTGATGACATATTCCAAAAATCTCGATGCTTTAATAATGACATCCTCCTGCATTTAAGACCATAAAATGTCAAAAAAAGTATACAATTCATGACCATTAAGGCGATTTCACTTTAGCACCAGGGCTAGGTAATGTGAGGTTTCACAACTGATACAGACAGCAGATACCACTTCAAACACCAAAACATGGTGAAGAAAGGATATTTTCATTTCACTATTGCAAAGGTGAACTTCAGAGGACATGATTATGAACCGAGAAATTCAACTATAAAACAAATGCATGTGAACTTGGTTATGAATCAAGAAATTCAACTAAAAAACAATGTATGCGAACTTGGTTCGGGACCAATAAATTTAACTAAGAATTAAGAAAAGAATGTATGTTAACTTGATTAGAAATAGAGAAATTCAAACAAGAAGAAACTTTGAATTCTCATAAAGAAAAAACAGGGTAAAAAAGAATGGATGATTAATAGACATCAAGATATTTAGTGGTTCAAAATCAACTTGCATATAGGAATAGAAGTTTGACAAACCCCTCCTGATCTTTTAGCAATGAATATTTACAATCAATGAATTTAGTCGCCAATGTAACTAAGCTGCGCAAACTTCCACGAAAATATGCCATGTATTGTACAGTATGTACGCACATCAAATATAAAAAAACAAGTGCGCAGAGGTTATTGTAGAGTATTTATAAAGTATAAACAAAGATGATAAAAACCACTGCTCTTATAGCTCATCACTTTTCAATTCTCCCAGCATTGTCCAGTCAAATATATTGATACCTTTGCCACCAATATCAAGAAGCCAATAATTATATGGGTTGTTGCACCACCTTGTTGCTAATTGGGAGAGAGACATATGAGAGCATGGGTCTGCCTAAGAAATATGCATTTATCTGTATATTTATTTTCCTTCCATGAAGTGCATTCACTACATGATATATTGTACATTACAAATTAACCTTATTTCCCAACAATATATTGAGCCCAAAGAACAAAATAAATCAGATTGTACAAATAGAATGACTGATGTTACCATTTACTCCCCAGGCAAATTCTATGAACTAAGCAATTGTCTTAGCAATATTACCAGAAAGGACATGTATGAAGGAACCACATGAAGAAAAGTGATTAAGAAGAAGGAACCGTAAGAGTTTCGTACCGAAAATTTAAGAACTCGGCATAGCTCTTGCAAAGAACTGTCGAGAGCTGTCTGCTCATCAGATGATACACTTCTTCCCCCTGACATGCCTTCAGACCTAAATATTAAATCAATCCAATGCAACATCTTCAAATATATACAAACACGTTTAAGTTTCACATGATAATCGCCGCAAAAAATAAAAGACACGTGACAAATATGAAAACAAATAATGACAAAGGAAAAGACGTGGCTAAAGATTGTCCAACATAAACAATATTGATTCATAAATCTTTCTATCCATATAAAAGTAGGTTGAAATTTATTTTCTAATTCTGATCCACAAAAGTTGGTAAAGTTACGAAATATGAAAGACGAGAAGGAGTCAACCTAAATACCACCGCTCTTCAGTGAGACCCCTTGATACAAACCACCTATTACATCTTAATTGTGCTATCCAGGAATTCAAATTAAGCAGACAAAGGAAACCAATCAGTCAGCCAACATCAAACATACACAGTAGAGCAGAAAAGGAATGTGAAATAGTAGTTTTGACTCGAGAATTCTATTAAAACATCAGAAGTATTAGTCTTCTATCATACAAATATAGAAAAATGTCTTCAGTAGACATGAACATGCAGCAAAATCCTATTGCAAGGTGGAACAGACATCATCGAAATCTGAAAAACATTTCTATGCCGCATGCTCTTTATTTCCTACTTCCTAGTGTACAATCATGAAACATCTTAATCAGTTGTCATGACTCAACCAATGGCCCAATAAATACTTAGTCATTAAAACCACCAGCTACTGGAAGAATTCCGAACTTCATTTCAGCTTATTTGGAACCCGTATACGTTGCACGTAGACAGACATCTATTGCAGTATGTTTTATGTGTATTCAAATCTACATAATTTGTAGAATGCTTCAGAAATTTGTTTCACAGCAAGAAACCATTCGCAATACTGAAAGTGAGAGGAAAATACTCAGTGGCACGAAACGCACCTTTTGATCTCAGAGCAGAGGACAAGAGTGTCCAGAGTAGGTGATGGTGAAGGATTATCCTCTGCAACTGACATGAAACAAATATTTACCCATACTTACTTAAATTAAGATAAGATGTATATTACTATCCAATGTGTAGGACATACCTTTCAATTGTGTGCTTCTCTTATCAATACTGGAACATTCAGAATCATCTCCTGTTTTCCCCAAGCAAGTTGAATTTTCGGATTTGGAAGCATCCCTATTCTCAGAAGAACGATTTGTCGGCAATCTTTTTGGACAAACGTACGTTTCTCTGAAACTCAAAATAGTAGTGGAACGATTTGACAAAGGTTCATCCAGAACATTGTCCCTACGGCTAGAAGCCATATTGACATTATCTTGGATGTCTTCATAATGGTCTTTTGGACATGACTTCTGAAGAGGTCCACCAGAAGCTTTATCGATATCAATGATTGGATCTCTCGAATCACCCACTACCCTTCTACTGCTCTTATCAGTATTAACCGCTCCATTTCCCATCCGTTCCAAGCCAATGCCGTCGTTATTGTCACTGTAAACATTAGACAATTTATCCCGTCCTTCCAGCACCCCATCACCATCTAATGAAGAATAAAGTGGTGAACAAAAGAACACGTGTCACGAGGCACTAACAAAATAATTTAAAAGAGACATGAAGGACAGAAAGAAACATTGCGTAAAAATTTGAACTGTAAGAAAATAAAGATTCACTGTCTGACACAAACGAGTGTACTAAATAGGAGAGTGAAGGTACCCGACGCAATCTTGATGCGCTGCCTTTTGAACATGGCCATGAAAGACCGAGCATTCATCTTCTTTCTCTTCGTGCCGACTTCCGGGTCGATTTCGGCCTTTTCAGATTCCAGTGTCACCTGAATCAAGTTCTTCTGCTTCTTTCTCTTCGAGTCCAGCGGACTAAATCTTTCTGCAGATTTACTTGACCCAGAAGAATCATCAGGTGAAAGTTCGTTCTTACTCCTGATGGACCTCCTCACATCTCTGACAGGGCTTGGAGTGTTACTCTTTTCCAGTCTCTCGGATTTCCGCTTTGTTGAAGGAGTAGAAGGCGGGGTCCCCTCCTCAAGACGCTGGGATTTCTGCATGCTGTGAGGACTTGGCGCCATTTGTATGGGGGAATCTGATGCTTCTCTAGCTGATCTTCTTGCACCTGAACCTTGAGATTCTCCCAAGCTTCGCATGGGCGCCTCCTTTCTTAAAGCCGCTTTCCAATTTAAATTAGGACCATATCCTTCGTCCTTGCTATTTCTGGAAGTTCGGGTATCACTGACCATCCTGCTCAGATGCATTGTCAGCCACATTTTTTACATTATCATGCATCGAAAACAATAATCTGGACTAAAACAGATGAATAAGAGAATAATGGAGAGAAAACGGGGGTAAAGAAAATTCAAAGCAAACGATGAAAAACTACATTTAAATCAACAATGTCTAAGTGCTGGCCAGAATTAAGCTCCCAGATATCAATTCTTACTGCCAGAAGATAAGTTGCAGATTATCATGAGAAACACGCATCAACTATCCCATTCACATACATTACCAAGTCCCATATCCTAAAAAAATATCTTTCTAACCATACAGTTCTCACAAAAAGCAAAATACACACGCAGCATACTAAAACGAACAAGAATTTCATATATTACAATCATAGAGCAAATCCCATAACCACAATAAACAAACACAAAATTGAAGATCAAAAGCCGCAATTATACCGACATGATTTGAGAGTAAAACCCAGAACTAGAAGAACAAGAAGGCAATGTACCTTCAGCACTTGAAACGTAGCAACAAAGCCCTAGATTCTAGCGTGAGGGGATACAAGTTAAATTCCGCGGAAATATCGAAGAGGAATTTCTAAAATTCGCTCCCCATCAGCTTTCTTAGGGAAAGATTTCTAGTACAGAGTTCACTGCTTTAAAATTATCATGGAACCGTAAAATGATAATTAAAAATACTATATAAGAAGATCAAAAATGTTAAAAATAGATAGTATTAAGTAATGCGTTTACACTTTGCATACAGCTCATTTGATGCACCTGCAGCAGCCGGAAAAGTATTATACTCTCAGCCAGAAAAGTATTATACTCTCTCCTATTTTATTAAGATTTTTTTTTTGTCAATAATAATCCTCGATAGAGATGGATGTGTTGAGAAAAGAAAAAGAGTGAATATAAAAAGACGTAGTATATATATTAGATAGATGAGAATAATAATGGAAAAATATGTATTACTATAAAAGATCCAAAACGACATTTATTTAGTAAATTGTTGACAAAGCCAAAATGACATTTAAAAAATAGGAGAGAATAGTATTGAAGTCAAGACTCGCTCTGAAACTTTTTTTCTCCAAGTTTGCCCTTGCTCGTTTATTCATTTTTTTGTCAGTAAAGGCAGGTATATTAATAACCAAACTATTACAAAATGTAAAATAGATAAAACTGTTGAATTTGATAGCCAAATAAGTTGAATATAAAACTAGTAAACAACTAAAATAGTTGAGTTTAACATAAAAAAAAGTTTATATTTAGAGTCTAAAAACCAATAATACTGCACAAACAATAAAGTATATATAGATACTTGGTCAAACTTGCAATATATTACATGATAATTTCTCCAAAAAGATGGTGATTTTCATATAGATGCTTTCATGAATAGTGTTCATGTCATTTTCTACATGAATGTTAAAATTTTGAATTTTGACCTTGATTATGGAACACATTATATAAATGTAAATTATACATATGAAAGTTGATAAAATGTACCTATTAGCCCCTTGAATCTTCTATCTTGTTATGGATTATAACCATCACTTTGATATGGAAGAATGAAAAAAAAAATGTTTCTCTTTGTAATCCTTGCTTAAATATTTATGTGGCAATCCTAAACATAGAAAAAAAAATTTTACATTTTTTTAATATAAATCTCAATCTCAATATCTTTTGGAATCATGAAAGAAAAGATTCTATTAGATACCCTAACTTATTCTCAAAGTACAAGATATATATCAATCTCAATCTTAAATAGATTCAACAAAATCAAGGTTTCTAGGTAACCACCAATTTATAGCTATTGACCAAATACACTAATATTTTCTAGCATAGGAGTTTTTAAGTAATATTATTATGTGCAATGGCAAGTTTACATGTAATATTACTTAATGGTTAGATTGTCAAATCATTTGAACAACATATAATATAATTAATATAACATATCAATTCTTTGATAGGTTAATAAATTTTAGGAAACAGATCATCTTAGTAAAGTTTGTGATTTCAATAAAAGATACTCTAAAAGAATTATACTATGTTTAGTTTTAAATGTTTTTTTTTTAATTTACGGTTTTTATTATTAATTATTTATCATTTTAGAATATTATTTCAACTATATTTATCTAAAAAAATCTTAAAAGAATTCGACAATTATGATTTACCATAAAAATTGATTCTCTTGAAAGTATTAGGAAAGATATATAAATATATGATTTCAAAAGATTCAGTTAGTTGTATGTATATTTGGTTCTTAGTAAAGAGATGCATAAATATATGATTTGAAAAAGATTCTATGAATTGTATATTTGGTTCTTATTAAAGAGATACATAAATACAGTAAAACCTCTATATAATAATAATGTTGGGACCGAATGATTTTATTAATTTATAGAAATATTATTATATCGATAATTAATAATTTATTAATTTAAAGAGGTTTTAACGTACATGCAAAGTTGACCTTCAAAGTTTCAAATTCTTTGAATAACTTTAAATATACATACATAGTTATTGATGAAAATTAAGTTAAAATACAAATGTACTAGTAGAATTCCATGGACACAAACTCACGTGGAAGTTGGAAGGACTTGTTTAAATTAATTGGTTTTGTACAAAACTACGGCTCATTGGACTAACATTTGTGCATTGAATCATGGATAGAAGTCAGCAGTTTTGCTATGGAGCCATCGGATGGCTCGGCTTATGGAGCCATCCACACTTATTAACCAATAGTATATTGACACTTGTCCTGCAATAAATACACTTTGGACAGGTGTCAATACATTAAGTGGTGGATGGCTCCATAAGAAAACCATCCGATAGCTCCATAGAATTTTTGTAGAAGTCAGCACTATATATTTATCCATTGGAATCTTGGTAAATCACACACAAAAATGGTCACTCATCTAAAGGAATTCAAAAAAGATGAGATTTAAAGATGAGATCAACATAGATTTGAAGTTCAAGAAAAAAAAACAAATTATATTAAGAATTTTCAAGTGCATCATATATATATATATGGATTATTTTCAATAATTATTCGTTTATAGTTTCGTCGGGACCAATATATATACACTGGGATCTCAAAAAAAGCATTATCTTATAATTTTATTGACTGGGTCCCAAATTTTTACTGGTTCCAACTTGGGACCGGACAAATTATTAGTTTTAGTGAGGTTATTAATTTAACAAGGTTTTACTGTTTATGATTTCAAAAAGATTCTAGGAATTGTATATTTGGTTTTTCTATATAACTGACACTTATTTTTAATCAAAAGTAATATAAAAAGGTTGCTAAAAAAATACATAAATAGTAACTTTGACTGAATGATTGACTTACTATTATAAGTAACAAATTAAAACACGCAGGTGATAAATGGTTAAAAAATTAGATATTTGGATCGCACATTGCCATGGCATTTTTTTCAGTAACTAAATTGATCCTCTTTCTATTTCCTAACTAAATTGAATATTTGGTTTTTTATAGAACTCGCACTTATTTTTGTAATGAGGTTAGTACATGAACTTGTTAATAAAACCCATATATATATATAGGGTCACGATCCCGTGAGAATGATTCTCAATAAAAGAAATAAGAATAAATCTTTGACAATTAAAATTGATCATCCAACCGTTCAAAAAATCAAAACACTTATCCAATCCACAAACCTAATTATACCATTGGGCCCCACAATCTAACCATCAGCCATCGACCCCCCATCTTCAATCTCTCTCTCTCGCACCACACACACCACACAACTTGCTGCAAACACCCCACCCCACACACATTCTCTCACACACAGCACACACGCACAACACACACTAACACACACCACACACATCACGCTGCCGTAAAGCTCCGCCCACCGCCGCACGGCAGCCGCGGCCGCTGCCACCACCAGACTTCCAAAACATGCCATCCTCGGCCTACTTTCTCTAGCGCGGCGCTCCATCTGAAACGGGATCGATCGACTCGCCACCGACGGCCACCAGATCGACTCGAGAATTTAACGGACACCGGCGCAAAATTTTAGTTCAGCCGCCGCCTGCGTCGTTCGATTCGAGTCCCGTCTTTTCCTCACCAGACTGCAACAGATGCGATCTTGAAACAACCGGTTGCCAAATAGATCTAAGCCCGATCGGAGCGGAGCCCCGCCGGACTGTTCACCGGCGAGGTCTTGGCCGGGAAAGTGGCTGAAGTGGAAGCACTAGCGTCGATGTCGTCGACTCAGTCGTCGGAGTTGAGGAATGGAGGCAACCAGTCAAACTCCATTGGAGATAGGGACATCATTTGGGAAATTTGATAAGTCCCAATGACTAATTTGCAATTTGTAGAGTTTTAGATAATTACAGATTAGCCACTGGGGTCAATCTGTAATTTCAAAAATATTTAACTATATTACTAATTAGCCCATATGTCAAGTCTGTAATTTATAGAAAATGTAGAAAAATTTATTCTGATTTTCGGCAAATAAAAGTAGGGCGTTACAGTTTGGTATCAGAGCCAGTCTGCATTTCTGTAGATTGGTATGTGTGAATAATGGGAACTTTGTGAAATACTGGCATACTATGATGTATATGACCACTCGCTTCCGTCGTGCCGCGCCAACTCAGGTATGGATACTTGGGTAATATTAAATTGTTTATGTGAAGTATTACGATATTATGAGATGTAAACCGGGGCTTAGGAATTTATCCTCCTACATTTAAACGTTCCGGAACTCTACATGAGTGGCGAACCTTAGTTGTATGAACTTGAACTCAAGCGATATAGAGTTAAGTTCTAACTTGAGGTTTTGTTTGTTTAGAAATTTGATATGGTGTTATCGAGCTGAGTTCTGTGTATAACAGACCTCTCGATGTATTTTGGTGCATTCGCGAGCCATCTCGAAAGGAGAAGGCTTAAACAAAGGGAGCAGACAACCGAAGAAGTCCCAAGTGTGGGATGTTCGGAGGTCTGTAACCATGGTTGTTAAGACCATCAGATGTGTATTTGAACCCCAGTCGAGTGCGAGCTGGAGTAGAGTCTGGGTGCCTTGTGGATGCTTAATGTTCGACCCCGAGGAGTGTTTTTCTACCTTTAAATATTATGCAAAAGCCTTTTAAGGAGGGTAGACGAGTCAGAAACAAGCACATCGCGTAGTGCAGACCCGATCTTATTCTAAATCTTGTTCATCGTAAAATTTTTGTTATTTTCCTCCTTTCGGAATCCTGGGAGGAACTTCGCGTTCAAATTCCTAAGTGTGAAGATTGAGAAGTGAGTTGCGCTTGTTTAGGACTGCTGACACGAATAGCTACCCGATGAAGAGCTGACGTGTCGGCCGACGCTGTTAGTCGGAAGAGTCGAGGCGAGCTAGTTATTGTATCTCTCGGCAGGAGCTGCTGATTGGAGATTATTCCCGACTGAATAACTGTAATAGAATTTCATTGAGAATTGTCGTCTATCTCAATCGTTGATCTCTTCGCGTATTAGAATGTGTCGTTGGGAAAGGAAGTGGACTTGGAACTCGAATTTATACCTTTCTATTTTCGGAAACCCTTGAACTATAAAATTGTGGAATACCTGAAATATATGTTGTTTTGTTGACCCCAAAATTTTTGAAATTTGGTAAAACCATTCCTTTTTGGTAGCCTTAAATTGTAGTTTCTTGTGGAAACCCGGACCAAGCCCCGATGACCGCGCGTCGCGACACGGTCAAAATATAATATTTATTTTCCTTAACCGACTTCTACCAACTAGCAGTAGTAGTGAGCAAGGGTCGAACCCACAGGGAGTGTGGAATTTAGTTGTAATTATTTTCTTTAATTGAAATCATGTAAATACTAATAAAAAGGGGGATTTTGGTATGAATTAATTAACTACTAAAAATATGAATAATATAATGAAACCAAATGCAGCAAACAAAGATGATTATCAAATAAATGGGGAAATATCTAGTCCACGGTTCCGTCTACACCCTCGATTGACTCGTCTAATTAATTTTAGTATCAGATTTCGCTATCTCCTGGAATTACTAGCCCTAGGTAACGACACGGTCTGTTACCCGAATTTTTCCTTATTTTTAATTTAACCGCGAGACGCTCGACGATTAAACCTGACTTTTTGTACAGTCCAGAAAAACGTTTTCAAGATTTAATACAATTAGCCGCTTTACGATTTAGAAAAATAGGCTAGACTAATTAGTGAACTCAACCGCGTTCGTTCACTTAATTAGGCCGTGTTATCCCCGGTAGTTACCATCTTCCGGTTACCTCTTATGAATTAAACACAACAACAATTACGGATTGCAGGCCTAATTCAGATGTAGATATGAAAAGCCTAATCTAGGTGATCAATCGAAACTAGACTAACACATCATGGTTAATTATTCAAAATAACACAAGCAATTCCAAAAAGATATTGAATTCATCAACCAAATAATCAATCAAAACATAGTCATTCGTAGGGTTCGACTTCCCCGGGACTAGAATAAAGAAACTACTCGTTCATAGTATTCAATAACATAATCCAAGAATTTAATTACACAAGAAAGAAGTAAAGAAAAGAGAATAAAAGTCTTCTCTGTTCGCTTGCACCGTTGCTGCGTGCGTTCAGTTTCTCCCTTTTTCTCCTCTGTTCCCAGCCGCAAGAAAGTGTTCCCAGGTCAAAAATAATGACCAATCCTTTGCCAAAGTCTTCCCTTTTATTCTATCTACTCCCAGGCCACGTGTTTAATTTCACTTATGCATTCCCAAAGTCAAATAAATCCTCCCAGCAAAATATTAGGCCCACTTCTATCTTTAATATTTGCGGCCCACTTGTTATAATTCCCCTACTGATTTGCGGGTCCGCTATAGGAATACGGGGCCTGCTGGTTCAGTACGGAGTATCCCCGTACTTGCTGACAACATCACTTCGTCCTTCTTCCGAACATCCACGCCTCTTCGTGCAACAAAAATAGCTCCAAAAGTACTGAAAATCACTCAAAAATTCATCAAGGCACGAGAGTTGATAATAATATCAAATAAGTCAAAAGATGCACAAATGTGGAGAGTTAAACGTGCACAAACGCAACATTAGACCATTAATATAAGCACGATTTCCGACGAATCAAACCACCCCACACTTGAACGATGCTTGCCCTCAAGTATCAAGCCTAATTCATCATATCAAATTGTAATCACACCCTTCCCTTCTCCTTTGCCAATTCAAAATCATTTTGCACATAAGAAAACAAGTCATAGTGAAATCCTCATATACCGACATCAATGACACATATTCTCAACAACCAATCAATATGAAATGCAGCGAGGATCAACACACCTCACAAGGTTCGCTCAAACTCTCCAAGTGTATAGGCTAAAGATATATATAAGTGAACGCTCAAGTCACAACACAGAAAATCTTTACCATAAGCTTGCCATTGCATCACGCCCGACTATTCAAGAACGAACATAGATTCACAAACATCAAAGGATTTATAATAAGGTTGTAATGTAGGGTACGGGTAATAATGGCTAGAAGTATCGACACGCAAGACGAATAACAGTGTAATTCAACGAACCAAAACAATCGTGCAAATCCCGTCCGAAAAGAGCTCTAAACCAAAACCCGACAAATGTCTAAATTGAACCTCACCCTGCCAATGCCAAACGCAAAATAGATCACAACCACACTCTAAATGGTCTCACCTCATCTCACAGCCTCTTTAGTTCTCTTTTTTAGAACACACAATATTAAAACACCCAGCTCCCAGTCAAACTCAAAACACGCAGCCCATGTACACACCCCGCACAAACAAGAACCTCTGCTCAAATTAGACAGGAATTTACACAATTGCTCAGTTCAAAGGTTCAAGTGGGATATCAGCAAAAGGTCACATGGCATGTAATATGGCTATCATTCGAAGAAAAGGCTCAAGCTCAAGGGGGCTAACTAATGGATATGAAGAGGGGTTCGGTTTAAAAGAAAACAAGAAGAAAGGCCACACAAAATAGGTTCATTCCTAAGTACCCTTATCAATCAAATGAATCCATATTCATCCCGAATCAAACATAAACGTGTATAACAAGGCAAGTTCTAGAAAGATCAACTAGTTGTGGCATCACACAATCAATAAAAGGAGCATTATAGTCAGTGTATGCTCATTGGCTCAAGCCTCACGACAAATAGGGACAAATAGTGATAATCCTCGTGCATTCGTCTACTAATGATCATTGAAAACAATCAGCCAATTAAAGTGCAGCACACAAGGACTTCAAAAAAAAAATTTTCGCACACACCAAAATTCTTCAAAAATTGGCATCAGAAAAGAAATAAGCATAATCACAACTAATATTCCAAACGAGCTTGACACCATCAGACAAACATCAAATTGACTCTAACCTCAGCAAAACAAACACAACAGACTCATACTGGAATAATCTCGACATCAATACAGCAAAAGGCAATCAACAGCAACATATATATAGGCAGCCCAAAATCCAACCTTCCACCCCACACTTTAAAAAAAACGTTGCCCTCAACGGCACGACACCAACCATGTATAAAGAAAATAAAAACAAGAAGGGATAACGGACTTCCCTCTTCAGGGGTAGCAAGCTAATGCGTGCGGTCGGCAAGATCGGTGGCCGCAGTGGGAGGAGGGCCAGGGTTAGCCTGTCGCCGCCCGTCCAGCAAATCCCGAATAAGATCGCGGAGGTCCTGCTGCTCACTCTCCAAAATCTCGACTCGAGCCCGAGTCGCTGCGTGCTCAACTCGCAACAACTCCAGCTCTTTGCGCAGGTCAGAGTCTGATGGGTCGGGATTGGACGGGTGTTCGAAACTCGGCTGCTGCTGCTCGGCTGGGGGTTGTTGTCCTACCGGAAGTCGCTCCGGTCGATCGGGAAAAATGGCGTGCTGCATCTTCACGTTGGCAGCAACGGAAAGATCAATGAACGAGGGGTTCGGCAGGGCTAGTCGCTCCGTAGCCGACACCATCCAGTATCGGATGTCGGCCTCTTGCTTCACGACTCCAATCTGCTCGAGCATAAGCAAATCGAAATGGGCGACACCTCCAATGGTCTGCCTCCCTTGCAAATCGATCCCGAGATGTTCGGCCAAACATGTGACCAGTCCTCCCACCGCGATGGGATCACGGCGCGACTGGACTCGAAACAGCCCGTCGATGATAGCAGGAATCGTCTTCAGTCGTTTCCCCTTAAGCATGCACCAGAGCAATTGTAGCTCAACCTTTTGAACTAAGTGCCGATTCTCGTACCGACCGGTAATGAGATAGACGATCATCCGCTGCAAGTATCGTAGGGCTGGGTTGCGAATCTCCGCACTTTTAGACGACAATCGGGAGTAGTCCCGAGCGTTGGTAATAGCTAACCACGCTTCGTCGTTATCCATCTCAACCTCTTCGAGCGCATCTTCAGGTAGTCCGAAAGCGGTGGCGAAGTCAACGTCTCGCCACGTATACTCGACACCATCAAGACAGAAACCGTATAACCCATCCCCGTCCTCCTTTCTCAACGATCGAAAGAATTCGCACGTAAGGTCGGCGTAGACGGGCCAGTCTCCCGTCATCAATTTTCTCCAGCCCATCACATCAACGAGACGATAGACCTCGGTGTGTAGCCCGAGCTCGACCAACAATCCATGGTCAATATACGTGGTGGGCTTCAGCTCTCTGGGAATCGGTCGACCGTCGGGCCTGTGACATCCCGCCCGAGCCCGTTTAGGTGTAGGAGCGTGTGGTCCCGAGACCTCCGGTGAGGCTCGGGTTCTCTTGACGGGCGGCCCGGATGCTGTCCGGGGCGATACTCGGGTAGGCTCGGTAGCCGGTGACTCGGTGGCAGCGGTCAGAGGTGGACTCGATTGGGCCGGAGGCTGCCTCGGTTGAACCGGGGGCTGTGTCGGTGCCTTATTTCCCGATGTGGCGGCACGCGTCTGAGGGCTGCCGGCCGATTGCTTCGTGGATGCGGCCAGTCGTGTAACGGGTGGGGCCGTTCCTACATGAGTTCTCGGCCTGGACGGTTGCTGTGGCTGATCTGGTCGAACTGCGGGCCGTTTCGGTTGAAGCGGGGGCTGTTCGGAGGTGCCAGGGGATGATTGACTGACGATGCTGGCCGGTGTATGTGAAGAAGAAGCCGCCACGCCAGACGACCGCGTCTTCCTCGTAGACCCCTTGACAGTGAGATCGATGAACTTCGGGGAATCGGGGTTAGTGTACCATCCCATTCGGCGAGTGTGCCGGCGTTGTTCGAGTGGCACGTGTCTGAGCGGGTGCTTCGGAGGCCGCGAAGGCTGCTGGGCTCGTGACCTAGGTGGGGCCGGTTTGATTGATTCGGTTGCAGCCGGCAGTGTCGTAGGCTGCGACAAGGTTGGAGGGTTTACCGAATTGGAGGTGGAGGGCGGCGGTGGAGCAGCATCCGACGGCGATGCGGTTCGTGGTTGAGCGGCAACAGGTGGCGATTTTGACTGAGAAGATGTTGGCGGCGATTTGGGCGGCTCCGGTGGTGTTGACGCGGGCTTCGAAACGGAGTGTACCGGAACAGGCGGCGATGGATGTGCTGCGTTGGGGTCGGCCGCCGGTTGTGAGGCGGAGGGCGGCGGTTGAGTAGCAGCCGACGGCGGCAGCGGGATAGGGTTGGCCGATTTCGAACTGGAGCTTAGTGTCGCGTGCGGCGGAGATCGCGTTGCGTCCGACGGTGGCGGGTTCGCCGATTGCTGGACCGGCGGCGAAACAGGTGGCGAGTCAGGCGGCGATTCGTCATCTTCCACAGGCAACCTCGATTTGTAAGCTTTCTGTTTAATTCTCACCATTCTTCCTCGAGGTTGATGCTCAAAATTTCGAAACAAGAACGCCGATGACCTCGAATTCGAATTTCGCCCAAGTTCTCTCAGATCTTCGATCGCCAGTGACGTTTGAGATGGTTCTGGAAGTGGGTAAAGTGATTTGTGCTCAAAGTCTCACACCCAAGTCAAAGCAATTGGGCCGCCACTCGCTGTTGGGCCCAAAACAAAATTGTCTCAAGGGTCCAATAGAATTTAGTAGGCCATTACACTAGATTTTCTTTCCAACTGCCCACTTATTCGGTTGCATCCTGGTTTGGCTGGCCCGCTGAACGACACCCTCCCAGCAACACTTGCAATAATATCCTGCAGCACTAACACAAAGGAGTAGACATAAGCAGGTAACAAGATGCATAAAACAGCAAGCAGACAACTACCATCTCGTGCATTAATTATTTATTCAGTAAATAATAAATAAAAAATAATAAAAGAAAAATAATAATAATAATAATAATAATAATAATAATAATAATAATACTTATAATAATATTGGGTTGCCTCCCAACTAGCGCCCTTTTTTAACGTCGTTGGCCCGACAAAGTACTCCCCTTTAAACCGACTGAGGAGTGTCCAGCCGGGCTCGTTCCACGTCGTGGATTCCAAGTTCACCAATATAGGACTTGAGCTTGTGGCCGTTCACCTTGAACGTCTTGCCCGTCGTGGGGCTGAAAATCTCCACTGCTCCATGGCCAAAGACTTTCATAACAACAAAAGGACCAATCCATCGGGAACGTAGCTTGCCCGGAAATAATTTCAGCCGAGAGTCAAAAAGTAACACCTTCTCACCCTCGACAAAATTCTTCCTCGAAATTTTCAAATCATGGAAGGCCTTCGTCTTTTCCTTGAAAATCACCGAGTTCTCAAAAGCCTCATTTCTTATCTCCTCGAGCTCTTGCAGCTGCAACTTTCTGTGTCCTCCCGCATCATCGTACTCAAGGTTACACTTCTGCACAGCCCACCAAGCTTTGTGCTGTAGCTCGACCGGCAAATGGCAGGGCTTTCCGAACACCAACCGGTATGGAGACATGCCGATGGGAGTTTTATAAGCCGTTCGGTACGCCCATAATGCATCCTCCAATTTAATACTCCAATCCTTCCTGTTTGGGTTCACCGTCTTCTCCAGGATGGACTTAACTTCTCGATTCGACACTTCGGCTTGACCACTTGTCTGAGGATGATAGGCGGTCGAAAGTCGGTGAACAACACCATATTTCCTAAGCAGAGCCTCCACTGTCTTGTTGCAAAAGTGTGTTCCTCGATCACTGATCATTGCCCGTGGAATCCCGAACCTAGAAAAAATGTTAGATTTAATAAAACCTGCAACAACCTTCGAATCATTAGTCCGGGTGGCCTTTGCTTCCACCCATTTCGAGACATAGTCCACAGCAAGCAAAATGTACTCATTACCAAACGAAGAAGGGAAAGGGCCCATGAAATCAATTCCCCAGACATCGAAAATTTCACAAATAATAATAGGGTTCTGGGGCATTTGATTCCTCTTAGAAATATTACCTGTTCGTTGGCAATTATCACACGACTTACAAAATTCATGTGCGTCCCGAAAGAGTGTAGGCCAATAGAATCCACTCTCCAACACTTTATGAGCTGTCCGTCTACCTCCAAAATGACCTCCACATGCATGTGAATGGCAGAACGAAAGAATGGAGTGGAACTCGGCCTCCGGGACACAACGCCTAATCACTTGGTCGGCACAATGCTTCCAAAGGTACGGGTCGTCCCATACATAGTACTTAGCGTCGCTCCTGAGCTTATCCTTCATGTGGCTCTTCAGACCTGTAGGATACACTTTAGCAACCAGATAATTTACAATATCAGCATACCAGGGTTCGGCAAAATCCGACGTCGCATTTCCTCGATCTTGTTGTTCAGCTACAGCACAGTCGAGTACGGGGGTACCCTGTATTCCTGGGCAGGTACCCCGTATTACTGGGGGCTGCAAGTTTTCAATGCACAGCAACTGCTCGTCTGGGAAGCTCTCTCGCAGCTGAAAGTCATCCGAAGCATGTGTTACTCGGCTTAAATGGTCAGCCACAGCATTCTCAGCTCCCTTTTTGTCCTTTATCTCCACGTCGAATTCTTGCAACAAGAGTATCCAACGAATGAGCCTCGGCTTCGCTTCCTTTTTCGCCAAAAGATGACGTAGTGCTGCATGATCAGAGAAAACAATTACTTTAGTTCCCAATATATATGAACGGAATTTTTCAAGAGCAAAAACCACCGCCAACAATTCTTTTTCAGTCGTGGTATAATTTTCTTGGGCGGGATTCAATGTCTTTGACGCATAATAAATCACATGTGGCGCCTTATCCACTCGTTGGCCTAGCACTGCTCCTACAGCATAGTCGCTTGCGTCACACATTATCTCGAACGGGAGATCCCATCTAGGTGGCTGGATAATTGGAGATGTGGTCAGCTTCTCCTTCAGCGAATCAAACGCCTTTTTGCAATCTTCATCCACCCGGAATTCCACATCTTTTTGCAGCAATGAGCACAAAGGGGCAGCTGTCTTCGAGAAATCCTTGATGAATCGGCGATAAAATCCTGCATGGCCAAGAAAAGAACGCACTTCCCGCACACTCGCGGGGTAAGGCAAAGCATTAATAATATCGACCTTAGACTTATCAACTTCAATACCTCGCTTAGAAACAATATGTCCCAAAACAATACCCTGTTCTACCATGAAATGACACTTTTCCCAATTAAGAACAAGATTCGTTTCAATACATCGTTTTAAGATTAAAGCAAGGTTCTCGAGGCCCGAATTAAATGACTCACCATAGACACTAAAATCATCCATAAATACCTCTATTATATTGCCGACGTACTCCGAAAAGATGCTCACCATGCACCTTTGAAACGTGGCAGGCGCATTACACAGTCCGAATGGCATGCGTCTGTAAGCGAATGTCCCGAACGGACACGTAAATGTGGTCTTCTCCTGATCCTCGGGTGCAATGGGAATCTGAAAATAACCTGAATAGCCATCTAGAAAACAATAGTAAGAGTAACCTGCCAATCTCTCCAACATCTGATCAATAAAAGGTAATGGAAAATGATCTTTGCGAGTCATAGCATTCAACTTACGATAGTCGATGCATACCCTCCACCCGGTCTGTACACGAGTGGGAACCAACTCACCTACCTGGTTCTCGATCACAGTCACACCCGATTTCTTTGGAACCACTTGCGTCGGGCTCACCCACCGGCTATCCGAGATCGGGTAAATGACTCCAACGTCCAGCAACTTGATAATTTCATTCTTCACCACCTCCATCATAGGAGGATTCAGCCGTCGCTGTGCCTCCCGAGATGGTTTAGCGTCTTCCTCGAGAAGGATACGGTGCATGCAAATGGACGGGCTTATCCCACGCAAATCGGCAATGGTCCATCCGATTGCTCGTTTGTAATTCTTCAATACTTCAATAAGGGCTGCCTCCTGGTCAGGTTCTAACTTTGATGACACTATCACTGGGAGTGTTCGATCATTTCCCAAATAAGCATACTTCAAGTGGCTCGGTAGGGATTTCAGTTCAAGCTCCGGTGCCTGCAAAGTAGAAGGAAGAATTTTTTTATCAGGCTCAGGTAACCGAATAAAATTTTTATCATGCTTTCCAATATATGGTTTTAGTGTATTCAAGGCTGTTACGGCCTCATCAACAAGCTCCAGCTGGTACAAAAATTCGGTTTGGTTGCTATCTTTCTGCAGTTCGAGTATGGGGTCGCCCTGTATTCCTGGGCAGGTACCCCGTACTGCATGATTTTTGTCCAAACCTTGTGAAATCACCAACTCTAGCTCATCTTCCCTGTAAGTGTCGAGAAACTCTTGTGCCAATGGTTCAATACAGTCAAGTAAATAAACACAATGGTCAGAGTCAGGAAACTTCATGGCATCAAAAATATTAAAACGAATAACATTGCCATCGAACTCCATTGTGAGGGTGCCTTCACGAACGTCGATTTTCGTTTGGGCGGTGTTCAAGAACGGCCGCCCTAACAAAATCGGGGTCGATATAGGAGTCCTGTCATTCATACTCAACACATAAAAGTCAGCGGGAAAAATAAGCTCATTAACTTTAACGAGAACATCTTCAATTACCCCATCCGGAAAAGTAGTACTTCGGTCGGCAAGTTGAATTACCACCCGAGTTTCTTTCAGAGGACCCAAATTTAAGGAATCAAAAATAGAGCGAGGCATAACATTAATTGATGCTCCCAAATCGAGCATGGCTCGCTCGATTTTTAAATTCCCTATTGTGCATGGAATCGAAAACATACCTGGGTCGCTTCTCTTTTGAGGTAAATCCTTCTGAAAAATTGCCGAGACATTCTCTCCCATCAGAACCTTCTCATTCCCTTGCAGCCTTCGCTTGTTGGTGCATAGGTCCTTCAAAAATTTTGCGTATCGCGGGACTTGCTTGATTGCATCAATGAGAGGAATATTGATCTCGACTTTCTTGAACACATCAAGAACCTGCTTCTCAGCATCTTCTTTTGCTGCCTTTCGTACCCTGGATGGAAACGGTAGAGGTTCGGGTTTCAGTGGAGGAAAAATCGGACTGCCCTTCGGCTTTTCAATCTCTGCAGACTGAGTACAGGGTGTCCCCGTATTCTGCTGCTCGGCCCCATATTCTGCTGACTGGCCCTCTTTTTCACTTTCCCTCTTCTCGTTTTGAGTCTTTGGGGCTTCTAATTCTTTCCCACTTCGCAAGGTGATGGCACTGACATTTTTAGGATTGATCTCAGGTTGAGATGGAAGTCGGCCCCCAAGTTGTGCATCTATTCGAGTCATATGCTCCGCCAATTGACTCATTTGTCCCTCTAAGTTCTTTGTCCTCGATTCCTGATTCTTGATGCTCTCTTGAACACCCTGCTGAAAGGTCATGGAGCTAGTTGCAAGCGTCTTGATCATCTCTTCTAGGGAAGATTGTGGCATGGAGTTCGGCTGACCATTACCCGCTTGTCGTGGAAAATTTTGACCTCTTTGAAAAATTTGGGGTGGCCGGTTATCTTTCTCCGCATACACTCCCCCTGATGGATTTCCATATCGAAGGCCGGGGTGATCTCTCCAACCGGGATTGTAGGTGTTGGAGAAAGGGTCATAGTTTCGGCCCGGCCCATTGTTGGACCCTATCGCGTTCGCTTGAGCCTCCACTTCACCATTG